ATATATATATATATATATATATATATAGTGAACCAATCACGTGTGTAGGCGTAAACCCAACGTGACGAGGCAAACAGCACCAACCGTAACACGAAAAGAAGAAAAAAAAAAAAAAAGAAAGAAGAAAGAAAACGTAGAAGTCTTTTTTTTTTCTTTCTCTTCTTTCTATCTTGTTATTGACATTCCCACATCTCCGTTGATAACTAGAGTGTGTTCCATTTTCCCTTGTGTGTTTATCATTTGTAATTATCTATCTAATTATCTATTCACTGTGGACGTTATTCTTACAAACAAAAATAAAAAAAAAAAATGACGGAGGCAAATCCACAGCGTTTATTATCGCGGGAGGACGTCCACACACTCGTGCGGGCCATGACGGCAGAAATGCAGACAACTTCTTTTTTTGAACGACTGCGGGAGGTCGTTCTTCGCGGGCCGCTGCCCACAGATGATTTGGAACTTATCGCCGTGGTGGAATCTATGCAGCGGGAATTTCTCGCCGATCAATACAAAAAGATGCAGATTCCTGCGCATGATCCTAATAATAATAATAATAATAATAATAATAATAATAATAATAATGATATTAATAATAATAATAATAATAAGAACAGTGAGGGGACACTGGATGGAGAGGTGATATTAAAGGAGTTGCAGCGGGGTGTATTAAACTATCCCGATAAGGAAACAGAGACATTGATTAGGAATATGTGCATGCTGCAGGAATCCAGAATGATTGCCCTCTGTGCGAATACCCCAGAGTTGTCTTCCCTCGTCAAACCAATAGCACCAGGCCAACAACAACAACAACAACAGGATCCATCTGCACATGGTCATTCCCATCAACACGGGCCAAATTGTCAACATGGACATTCCCATGGGATGCCTAATCCTCAGGAGATGTTTGAAATACAAATGGCTATTCAATCCCTTTCCCCACAGCTGCGGGAGGATATGGTGCGGATTCAACAACGTATGCAAAGCGGTCAGCCCCCAACACCAGAGGATGCAGTCAAAATGCAAGAGATCCAACGGCACGTAACGGCATTCATGGCAACAATGAGACAGTTTGCACATAATTCCTCTGCAAAGAAGTAAGAAAGAAAAGGAAAAGTGATTGGAGAGAAGAAGAAAAATAATAAAAATAAAGGGGGGAAAAAAAAAGAAAGTAAAATGGATAGATTAAAAAAAAAAAAAAAAAGAGGGGTTTAATAAGCGTAAAAGGGGAGATGTACAGGTGAACATCCTTTTTTTCTTTTATTGATGGGACTATCTTTCCTTATCTACCACGAACATGAAGTTGCATATAAATATATTCATAGATAAATACATGCTTTTATTGTAGGTATGACAGAGAAGAATGAGTTTCACTGAAGTTACAGCTTATCATTTAACAAAAAAAAAAAAAAAAAAAAANCTCTGTGTATTAAAATTAATTTAAATCCCTTTTCCCACCCACAACAGAAATAATAATAATATTATTATCATTTAAAAAAAAAAAAAAAAAAAACAAGGTGATGTGGGTTTTTCTTTTTTTCCCCTTACTTCTCGTGTTGAAAATACATTATTTTTTCTTTGGCGTTTTACCCCACTTCAAATGTTTTTCTCGGTTTCATTGTATCTTGGTAGATTCTATAATAATGATAATAACTATCATTAGTATTATTATTATTTTTAGTGTCTATCTCCAATATCATGGATAATTGGTGAGTAAATCCTCAGATAGGCTACTCCGTTTTTTTGTTTTGTTTTGTTTTGTTTTTCTTTTGATCCTCTAATCTCTTTTACATTCCTTTCTCTTTATCTCTTTCCCTATATATATAACTATTAGAAGAGAAGAAGATTAAAGGACAAGGAAACAACAGTAACTGATAGTCATACCCTCTATCTATCTATATTTTTCTCTCTCTCTCTGTGTGACTGGGTTATAATATATAATGGGGCCCAAGCGAAAACCGGGTGGTAAACAGAAACGCCGTAGTGAAAAAGCCACAACTGCCACTGATGCTGTTAACGAACCCACCACAACTACGACAACAACAAAAGGAAGAGGAAGAAGAGAAGAAATGGAAAGAGAAGAAGAAGAAGAGGATAACTGGCTTCATCGCACACCGGCATCAACACCCCAGCGACCGCAGCGCAGCTCTCAAGGCCGTTCCTCCATCACTCCGCCACCACGACTGTCAAGAACAGCAGTGGGGGCTCAGGAATTAAAGCACACCCCTCGTTTTGCCCAAAAACGTAGTCGCAGCCATGATTCGACTGAGAATGATAGTAATAATAGTAATAATAATAATAATAATAATAATAGTAGTAGTAGGAGTAGTAGTGGGAGTCATCATCATGATGATAATAATAATAATAATCCACACTCTGAAGAAGAAGAAGAGGAAGAAATGCAGGCGTGGAATACGCGGCGCACAACGACGGGTGATAGTCGCCGCAGTGGCAGCAGTCTGGGAATGAAGGAACGGCACAGTAGTGCTCTTTTGCATGGAGAAGAGGGATTCTTTCATGATCTTCGATCTATGCATCCATTGCGAGTACGTATTGGTGTTTGTCCACTGCCAGGAAGTAATCACAATCACAACAACAATGACAATGAGGACAACAAGCATAACAACAGCTTTGGTATGTTTTCCACATCTACACGAACTTCAGGAGATACAAGAAGAACAACAATGTCAACCATATCATCAATACCAACTACATCGGATACCACAACAGCCTTGCTGCTGGCACCACGTAAGTTCTTTACTTTACCTGAAGATAAAGGAGGTTCTGATGTTGTTGGATGGGCTGCGGCCTTTTCTTCTGTTTCGTTAGATTTACCGAGTGAAGGTGTATACAATAAGGCTTCTGTCTCTGTGACAGTGATGCTTCCACCATAGAAGGAGGAAATGGTATATATATATATACTTGTATGTATGGGTTAAATGAGAGAGTTGGACTAGTGGTTCTTGTTTGTCTTTTTTCTTCTTCCGTATATATGTATACATATATCTCTGTGTATACTTCTAATTATTTTTTGTTTCATTCTCACTATTGTGTTTTTTTTTTTTTTATTTATTTTTTTTGGTGTATGTATGTACGTATGTATGTATGCCACAGACGATATAAGAAAGAAAACAAACACATTTACACTTACACTTACACACACATAGACGCATATATGCTGCACTCTGAAGAAACATCAGCGGCAACTGCCGTAACAAGTCTGAAGAGAAAACGAATATTATCAGCAGAAGAAATACATGCGGCAGAAGTGTACTATCAACTCTCACTACAGTATCAATGGCAACTATTTCAATCTCTCTCTACATTACAGTCTAATAATAATAATAATGACAGTGATAATCAGGCGGAGCAAGCAAAACTTACACTCGGTCGATGGATAAACACAATGCTCGCCAGTCATTTACCTCAAGAACCGCAGGGAAATAAAGAAAATCAACAATATAAAGAAAAGTACTCTTATGGAGATGATTTGCGAGAGTTGTTTTTGCGGCTGCAGCATCAGCAGCAGTCTTTTGCAGATAATAACAATACCTATGGGAAGCGTGGAAGAAATGTAGAGGTATTGCAGTATTATATGCCAAATATATGGAGTCTTCTTATATGAGATGTTTAATAAAGGAGGAATAAGTGTGTAGTATTAACCCTTTTCTTTCTTTTCTATCTCTTTCTTTCTTTCTTTCTTGTATTGTTCCTTTGGAGAGAAGGATAGAAGTAAACAGTAAATATATTGATGACATTTGAGTTTCTTGACAGACTATATTCACATACATAGACACCACGGCGAGGTGGTATACTGCTTCATTTTTTTTTTTTT